TCTTGATTGGAAGTTCCTTCTTACTCTCAGTCTCTAGCCTGTTAACTTCATATTTCCAAAAAGCCGTTGAATTACTGCAAGAATGTGAGATTCAATATCTACATCAAGGATGTCTGTAAGCTGAATAAATAATATTAATTAATAATTATTGCACTTTTTCCTGCACCATGTCCATTGCATACATTAGCTCATTTAATTCTCCCCAAAATGCTATGAGGTAGGTTTAATGATCACCCCCATTTTACAGGTGAGGAAACTCAGCCTCAGAGAAGGTCAGTAAAATGCTCAAGATCACAAAGCTAACAGGTGGATAAACTGAGTATTCAAACCCAGGTCATTTAATCTCAAAGTTTATGTGTGGCCTTAACCATGACACAAGTATGTCTCTCTTATATATGTGTAATTACTTTTTTAAACAAATATTTATATGTGTTTTTGTTTAAAAGTTATAGTTTTTAAAGTATTATGTAATTTATAGTAGATTTTTGTTATTTTGTCTTCTCATTATTTTTCTACGTTGAAACTACCTCAACCGCATCCCAGTGGGCTGTGGAAAACGTGCAGATTAGATGGCGGAGCCAATCTGTAAAGAAGTAGGTCTAAAATAATGTGCCCGTTTCCTGGAGATGGGTAAGTACTGTCCCTGTTTTCACGAAGTGGAAGAAGGGGAATTATACATCATAAAGACCAGTGACTTGATGTTGGATTGTTTTTAGGTATATAAACTAGTCATTAATAGACAAGGCCTTCAGAACTGTCTCTTCTTGGTCATACGCATGTGCATCCACTGCCGCATTGGTCTTGGTTTGCCGACCTTGGACGTAAAGGCACCAGAAGTGTCACCTGAATCTTCTCTGGTTGCTCCTACTCTTTATGGCAGAGATTGTCATCCAAATCAGTGGCCAGAGCCTGGATGTAATTTCCAGCCTTCACGTCATTCTGTCTGTTCCAGAACCAGCCTGAGATCTTGTGTTGGCTTGGATTCTGCATGATGGTGATCACAAGTCCACCTCATCCCCAGGGATCCCTCTTTGTGAGTGAGAGTCTCTTTTCCTCAACACCATGTGAACATACCGTTGCCCCACACCCTTCCTGGCAGTGATGGCAAAGGCTATTTCCTGCAGCCCAGTCACGCTGGTATTGAGCACTCACAAACGCGCTGGGACTTCTCGGGAATCACCGGACACCTGGTGATGGTCTCCAGACTTCCTGTGGCAGAAAAGTGTTAGAGTTTGAAAGAGTTCGTTTGGAAGCCTTGAGGTAAGGAGCAGACAAACTATGATCTACAGACCAAATCTGGCCCATTGCTTATTTTTGTAAATAAAGTTTATTGCAATGAAGCCGTCCCTATTTGCTTATGACTGCTTTTGTGCTATGACAGCATTTTGGAGAAGTTGCAGCAGAAACCATCTGACCTGTAAAAGCCTATTTTTTTTCATTTAAGTATAGTCAGTTTACAATGTTATGTCTATTTCTGGTGGACAGCA